TTTAGCGCTCACTATAAATACTTTTACCGGGGAATGTTCGATTAATGCGACGTTCGTTACAAAGAATCGCAGGTTGTTTTGTGTCTTTCCCTGCCCTCCCAGCCCTTGCATTGTTTATCTTGTAAAATTTATGAGTTTGATTTGCATGTTTTGAATAAAAATGCGATTTGTAACGAACGCAACAAACCTAGAGTATATTCTTTTTCTTTGTTTTTCAATAATTAGTCAAGAAAATATTTATTTGCGGAGGAGTGAAACGAGGGAGAAAATAAAAAATACTTAAATACACTCACTGCCACTGGATTCCATAATACTGGCTACATTCTCAGCCACAGTAATTGCAACAAGCTTTTTTGCTTAGTATACCTCATTCCGTTTCTTGATACCGCACATTTCTTGATCAACCTGAACAATTTGATTTTTAATCATCAATATAGATTTATTTTGTTTTCTTAAAAAAAAAAACGATTCCAAATTGTTTCTTCATATCCCATGTCAATTTTGTTGGTGGACCCAATACACAATATTGGGCATCAATTTTTAAACAGCATTGTAAATATCTAAGCATAAACATACACATAACGTTAAGATGTAGGTTTATTAGCTACGTATAAAATCGTCCAACTTAAGGCCCGAGATAATAAGCACCGCTTTATATTTACCTGGTCTGTATTCAAATGAATAATGTCAATCAAATGAACTAGAAAACTGACTAGTCAGCAAGGGCCCCGCTGAGGGGTAGAAATATAAGGGTGCAGCTTACGAAATAAGAATTTTACTTGATTACAATTTTTTTAAAAAATATATTATGAAAATTAAAGGAACAACTATATTTTTTTTAAATTTCAAGATAATTCCTGAATGTCCAAAAACCTGTAAATAGTGACCTTGTATTTACATAAAACAGGGAAAACCTCATGTCTTATAATAACTCTATTAAATGTGTATTTGAAAAAGATTTATGCAGACGTTTTATAAAATGCTAGCCTTCGGTGAATGCAAATATCACCCAGGGTTGACCTCAACTACAAAATAAAACATCAGCTGCAGACAAAGATGTTCATAAATTTTCATGTGGCAGATAAAGATAAGCATCTAAATTTTCTTCAGCAAGCAAGATAATTTATCCCAGGGGATTAATTATGCTGCTCTTTCATCCTTTTCTTTTAAATTTACAATAAGAACTTTTTTCAGCAGTAGACAGAATGGGGTTTTTATCTGATTACCTGTTAAAATTAACAGCATCAAGGCAGCAAAAAAAAAAAAGATAAATAAATAATTAAAAAATTAATGATAAAAATAAAGGATATCTTTAATAATATATATCTCTTGTTTTTAGAATTCAATAAAATCATAACTCATTGTGTGCAGTATTTTAACCAAAATAAAGTATAAACAATATTTAAATCTACATCATTCAAAATTGACCTTAACTTCAAAACAAACTTCATCTGCAGACAGAAGTGGTACAGTGATTAATCTCAATGTGACAGATAAAGATAATGCTTAGGATTTTCTTCAAGTGGAATGTTAATTAATCTCAAGGGATTCTTGCAGAGCTTTCATAGTTTAAATAGGAACCTTCTCAGCAGTTATCTCTCTTTGCCCATTCATTCTTATGCATATTTAAGGAATCTACCCCACCACCCCAGCTCCAAACCAGAAGACATACAGAACCAAACCTAGCATCAAAATATGTCTTTCTGCCTACTAAACCACCATACCAAATTTGAACTTAATTGGGCAATTTAAAAAAAGTTATAAGAAAAAAACAGAAAATTTGTGGACGGAAGAATGACAGACAGACGGACAGACAGAGTGATTACTATAGGGCACCCGCAAATCTTTGCGGGGCCCTAAATAAGGTCCATCATTGGGTACTTAAAATTGATTGATATTTAGCTACTAGTACCTGTGTATAAATCTCTCACCTTGTTTGGCACTCGTGGCCACCATCGAATTAACTTTCGGTCTTCTGATGTTTACCGCTAAATTACCAGCACAATTAGGAAACCATTTTGATGCAGGGACGTAACAACGGGGGGGGGGGGGGGGGGGGGGGGGCAGGGGGGCCTGCCTCCCCCCACACTTTTTTTCCCCAACATTACTTTTACTACAGGAGATGTCTATTGAAAGGCTGGTTGCCCCCCCCCCCACTTTTTACTACAAGCTAATGATATTAAGGAAATGTAGTACTGAATGCCCAAAAAAGTGGTACTGAAAAATTGGCGTTGAAAAAACTTGGTCCCCCCCCCCCCCCATCCCCCCTTGAAATAGGATTTTCGAGTTTGGGCAATTTCCCCTTTTTTTCTACTTGTCAACTTTTTTCGGTAAGTCAAAAAAAAAATTTTTCTCCGGCTGGCTCCCCCCCCCCCACTTTCAAAAACGATGCTAAGTGGCTGTGATGCAAACATTTTTAGCTTGATTATAATTATCTGAATTACAAACATGTCATTGAAAAATGAAAATTTTCTCATAGTGTTTCAGAATAAAGTAAATCAAGAATGTGTATAATATTTTTATTGAAATGTGCATATGTGATGGAAATCTTGTCTTCACTAGTAAAAGATTCTTGTTTTGAGACGTGGCGAAAAAATTACGATGAAAATAATGGAGAAAAATAATACAACCTGGAATAGTAAGGATGAAAGCAAAATATCTTATTAGAAACAACTTAGCCTGGACAAGTATTAAGACTTTCTCCCTTTTTTTTTCCCATTTTTTAAGCATTTTTTACTACGTGGATTGTTACCTCGTTCAAGGTCACAGGTGTTAGAAATACAGAAGTTAACAATAACTTTAGTTAATATTTCGTTTTTAGTTATTATACCCCCCGCTTGAAAAGTGGGAGGGTATATAGTAATCGGGATTTCCGTCCGTCCGTCCGTCCGTCTGTTACGCTTATCCGCAAATCCTCTTATACTACTGAGTGAAATTTCATATAACTTTCACAGAATCTTTATTACATATTGCCATTGGGCACCTCCTATTTTACTTTTTTATTTTATTCGACACGTATTTTGGTTTCCCACAGCAAAACATGGACATTGCCATTATATGTTTACCTATGACGTCACATATAGAAGCATCTGGGTAACATTTGATAGGACGAGTTATTCCTCTTTACACATTACCGTAAAAACAATATATAGCAACACATGGACATTATGGGAGGCGGGGGTATCATTTATTGAGCTCATTGCTCACAGTACCTCTAGTTTATATTATAATTGTGATTAACTTAAAATTCACACACACATACATGTATAATTTTAATTTCTTGATACCATCGTCATCGTGAATTTTTTACAAACGGACAACTTTGCTAAAAATAGGACGCGACTTTACATAAAAACGGGAAGAAACTGTTACTAGTAACCGTGATCGAAGCTCTATGCTACTATAATTACGATAATTATAAACAGTTCTTAAAATATAGAAAGAGACAGGCAAGGATGAATATTTTACACATTTGATATTGTACCTGTATTTCATTAATTTTTTTTCATAATGAACTCAAGTATGTATTTGCTGCTGTGACGTACAATGTAAGGTACAAATCGTATTTTTTTTTTTTTTTACAAAAGTTCGCCGATGGGATTTCTCTTTGTTTGATATTAGATATGTCTGGAAAAAATTATGTAATTTTGCAAATATCATTTATTACTGATGACATTTTTTATTTACTATGTCGATTTTTGATTACTCCAAAACATTTCAATTCTGAATGTTGGGTCAAGACCCCCCACAGCATCAATTTTGGTTGACAGGTATGATCATGTGCGAAGCTTTTTTTTGGTTTCTACCAAAAAAGTGAAAAAAGAGTGAAAAATATAAATAATGAAGAATTTAATGTGTAAAGGATGATATTAACAGAACATTTTTTTGAAAATATAATCTTTCATGAACTTTTAGAATTAAGAAATGTCTTTTCTCATAGCGGGGATTGTCCTCGCCTTGTACGCCTCAATTCTTGGTTACGCAATTAATATATAAGGAACTTGATATGTTGACAAGTTTATGACTAACGTATGATGCATGACGAATAGTGACAAACAAACACAGATAGCAGTTTTTCACCTGAGGGACTCAATTAACTCAATAAATAATAAGTCATGATTTTTAGTCCCCTACCGGTAGACTATAGGTTTCCTCTACATCTGTCCGTCTGTCTGTCAGTCTGTCCTACTTGGTTTTCCGCACATTTTTTCTAAACGCTTGCAGATATTGAGCTGAATTTGATATTTGAGTGTATCGTGATGAGTTATTTTAAAATCAAGTTTAAATGTCGTTTCACTTCATTGATTTTTGGACGAAATAATGGCATTTTTAACTTTCATAATGGTTTACAATCGGGTTCGTGCTGCACTAAATTCCTATGGTCAACATGGTAAATATGAAGAGAGAAAAGATGTTGATCGTTTTTCTGTAGATTATTTTATTAGGTTAAAGGCATTAACAACCTCAAAATTCAGCAGTTTTACCTTGGTAATATCTTTGCATATTATAAAATGACATTCTAAAGAAAAAGGGGAACCCGGTAGGGGACATGTATTGCTTATGCAATACGTTCTTCTTTAATAAAGTGTAAGCAAATGATTAGAGATAGCTTTAATCAGTTAATTTTGATAAAATCTTATGTATATCACCGATTCATTTTCTTCTGTTACTAGCACATGTACTAGCTTTAATTCTATGTGATTTCTGAAAAATATAATGTAGACATGATTGTGTTTATTTTCTTTTTAATTAGATTCAGATATAATCATATATTTCTAGCATCTACTTAGTGCAATCACGCTTTTCACTTATACAATGTACTTAAATGAAACACTTGCTCTATGGTAAGTTTGGTTGCAATTGGCGAAGTGGTAAGAGGAAAACCAAATATTAGAAACGGAAAGACAGACGGGCGGACTGACGTTAAATTAGTCACGAAAGCTTTCAGATGAGGTAAAATGCATGATACATATTGTGGTGAGGAAAAAGAATTTAATTACCTGATCGCAGCCAATTGCAAGAACAAACATTCCAAAAAGCAGTGACTCCACCACAAGTAAAACAGAATGCATCCTACAAATAACAAAAAATTATGATTTTTTAAATTTTTTTTTTTAAATTTCACGCATTGTATTGTTTCTATTTTAAATCTAAAATTGCATCAAAAAACCTAATCTGTTTTGTACAGGTAGCAGCTGTTTTTAATTAAGCACTGTGCACTTTGAACATAGCTTCAATAATGCAGTCATCTCCATTTTTAAAGTCTGATATTCTCTGGGAAAATAAAAAATGGAAAGGGAAGCATTACTGCATTTATATGTCCAAGTGAACCTGTTGTAGGGAGTACTCAAAATCAGATTTCATCCATGAAGTCTTAAGTTCCTGATAATGGGTATCATTGAATCCGTGAAATTGGGTCTAGACAGTGTAATCGCATTATTAATTTAAACATTGAGATTGCAAACTTTTGCCGAGTCAATTTTTCACCTGGTGATGAATATAATATAATGGTATCAGTAGTCTATTTTTGTTTAATAAGCACAGGGTAACAAATACATGTACTTGTTGAGAATCCTGAAATGCTGGGTCTGACTTATGTATAGGATATATGCCGAATACAGTTCTTTGTTAAAAATACTTGGCCTAGTTACCTTGGCTTTGCATCTAGGCATTTTTCTTTTTATGAGAATAATGAAATCAATCTGTTTGAATGCTGCTCTTTATAGTGTCTAAACTTTGTGTTATGTTATGAATTTATTATTAGGACTTTGAAAGTTTATGTGCTTCTCTGGTGACCCCCAGTGTGCCCACTCTTTTTCAAAAACCAAAGAAAGAACCAAAGCATCCTCAGGTAGTGTAGATTCAAGTTTGTTCAAATCATGAATTCTGAATTTCCTCTATATTTCTATGTAAAACTATAATCAGCCAGTGTGGTCCCGCCCTACCCCCCAGGGGTCATGATTTAAACAAACTTAAATCTACACTACCCGAGGATGCTTCCCTATGAGTTTCATCTTTCCTGGCACAGTGGTTCTTGAGAAGAAGATTATAAAAGAATTTTCCTATACATTTCTACGTAAAACTTTGATCAGCCAGTGTGCCCTACCCTGCCCCCGGGGATCATGATTTGAACAAATTTGAATCTACACTACCTGGGGACGCTTCGCTATAAGTTTCATCTTTCCTGCTACAGTGGTTCTTGAGAAGAAGATTTTTAAAGAATTTTCCTATATATTTGTATGTAAAACTTTGATCGGCCAGTGTGGCCCCGCCCTACTCCGGGGGTCATGATTTGAACAAACTTGAATCTACACTATCTGAGGATGCTTCCTTATGAGTTTCATCTTTCCTGGCACAGTGGTTCTTGAGAAAAAGATTTTTAAAGAATTTTCATATACATTTCTATGTAAAAAATTTGATCGGCCATTGTGGCCCCGCCCTATCCCCGGGGTCATGATTTGAACAAACTTGAATCTACACTACCTGAGGATGCTTCCCTATAAGTTTCATCTTTCCTGCTACAGCGGTTCTTGAGAAGAAGATTTTTAAAGAATTTTTTCTATATTATTCTATGTAAAACTATGATCAGCCAGTGTGGCCCCGCCCTACCCCCGGGGGTCATGATTTGAATAAACTTGAATCTACACTACCTGAGGATGCTTCCCTATGAGTTTCATCTTTTCTGGCTCAGTAGGGCGGTGCCACACTGGCTGATCATACTTTTACATAGAAATATATAGGAAAATTCTTTAAAAATCTTCTTCTCAAGAACCACTGTAGCAGGAAAGATGAAACTTTTAGGGAAGCATCCTCAGGTAGTGTAGATTCAAGTTTGTTCAAATCATGACCCCCGGGGATAGGGCGGGGCCACAATGGCCGATCAAAGTTTTTTCTACATAGAAATATACAGGAAATTTTTTAAAAATCTTCTCTAGAATAGCATAGGCATGATTGATCATATTTTATAGAATCATGACCCCTAGGGGTAGGGCGGGGCCACAATGGTGGAGCAAAGTTTCACATAGTAATATATAAGAACATTCTTTAAAAATCTTCTTTTCTGGAATAGCAAAGGCATGAATGATCATATTTTTATGGAAGCATCCTCAGATAGTGGACATACAAGTTTATTCAAATCATCACTCCTGGGGGTAGGGCGGGGCCACAACATAGAATCCAAGTTTTACATAGAAACATGTAGAAAAAAATCTTTAATAATCTTCTTTTCAGGAATAGCAAAGTCATGATTAGTCCTATACATAGTGTAAATTAAATTTTGTTCAGTCATGACCCCTGGGGGTAGGGTGGGGCCACAATGTAGGTTCAAATGTAAAGGGCAATAAAGCCACAAGTAGTAAAAGAAATATGCAAGCATCCTTAGTTAGTGTAGATTCTGGTTTGTTCAAGTCATACCCTCTCCCTTTTAAGGATTGGTTTGGACCACTTTTGGGTTTTAACTTTTCAAAAAATAAACCATCTTCGCTAGCCAAGGGTTTCTGATGCGCTACTCTCCTCAAGAACCCTTGGCATACGGTGGTCAAAAGACGGGGTTGTTTTCGTCACGTGATCTCGAATCTATCAGGTACGCACAGATTCCGTCATCGACATAAATAAAGACGCGTGTTTAAAAAAAAATTAAATCAAAGTTTTTTTCAAGAATAATTAAGAAGCAATAATTGAGTCATGCTTATTCATTATTTATAGTACAAATCTGAACTTCAATAGATTTTTAACCGCATATTTAGAAGATATTGAATGACACCATTGCTATTCATAGAATCGCATGTTATCTTACGGATCCTTGTTTACTTGCGTTTTTCATTCCCGACATTAAAGAGTCAAAAAGTATCCCGAACGCAGATATCGCCATTTACAAAAAGAAAATTGCTGATTGGTCGAACGGGTGTACCGAATCCCAATCAGAACTCGAGAAAAAAACCTAACTTCTATCAACACCGTATGCCAAGGGATTATGAGGAGAGTAGGTATCAGAAACCCTTGGCTAGCGAAGATGAAATTTATCTGATTTATGCTTTTTTCATAGATACATTGCTCAGGTGAGCGATGTGGCCCATGGGCCCCCCTGTTTGTAAGTTTTTTTTGTCTTTTTTTTTTTTGCATTATCTGGTCTGCCACGTTCTTCTTCCTATTACAGCGTATATTCTTTTTTAAAATTTTGCAATTCTGTAAGATCAATGTTTCAAAATCATCATTCTATGTGAGAATTTATATTGCTGTTTGTTAAATTATCACACTTTTTAGACGGGGTTACGTGACCCCGTCTTTTAGTTTACTGTCAGGGGCCTCAAAACGGAAGCCATGGTGATAACACATGAATTAAATCTACGCATATGAAAGAGTGCAGAAATTGTTTAGATCAAAACATAAACATTCTGTATCAAACTGAAGAAAGTGATATAGACCTTTTTCTAACTCAAACTAATAAAGTATTTTGAAAATTTAAAACTGAAAATATTAACTGTAAATCAGACTATAAACAAAGTACTATCCTGCGTATTATTATGAATGCGTACGCATCATTCATTGTTTAATTCCGGAAAAAAATATTAATTCGTACCTGATGAAATTTGGAGCAGTTCAGAAAGGTTTCCAGACTGAGCAATTATTAAAATTTATACTTCAAATTAAATGAAAAATTTGAATGTATATTATTCACCATTTTGTTTTTAGTATGTTAATGAAAAATTAAGTTATTAAAACTCGTAAAAAAAATCACATTTGTGAAATCCAGCATGAAGATTATTTTGACACCGTCTTTCAGTACTGTCTCAGTACGTTGATTATTTCTTTTGTTCAGTAGTAGTCCAGTTTTGAAGGATATCAGTACTGAGACAGTCTGCTATTACGATTAATATCAGACTGCTCATTAATATCGGACTGCCACAGGTAAATTTTAAGAAAACAGACATTGTTTTCTTCCCTGCACATGATGGCGCAGTCCTGTACGGCTTTACAGAGCACCGTAACATCATTACTACAGAAAAACAAAGAAAAGGAAGAAGACAACCCTCTCCACAAATATCACACAACCATACAGAATACAGTTACTGAATCGAATAGTCGTGAAGCTGATAGAAGTGCCTACCACGTACCTGCAACAAGTGAAGCTAAAGGATATTTAGATTCAGCGTTTCAGACAAGCTGCACATCTGGCAGACCAGACACCGACACCATGCCCGGACATATCTCAAGTAATGTGGAGCTTCAACAAGTAGTGATAGATCTGATGGACAAATCTATTTCAGTGAACACCAGGACTGTTTATCACTATCAGCAAGGTTTTCAAGTGTATTATAAACAATTTCTAGCTATGTAAAATGTTAGTTTTGATCATAGTTTCCCACCTATATCACAGGAACTTCTCGTGTATTTTGTAGCCTACATCGTATTGTCAGCATACTTTGTCTTTAAAATACACCACAATTAAGTTGTATTTAAGTGGTATTAGGTTTACTATTTAGAGAAAGGTATACCTAATCCTTTTCAGTCAAACTTTCAATCGATGGAGCATTTGAAGTTGATTTTGATTGCTATAAGGAACTGAATTAAATTCTGGACAATTGACTAAACTTCCAATAACTGTTGATATTTTGCAAAAAAAAATTCTTAAACATAGAGAAAAGATGTTTTTGATTTTTACACAAATATTTTACTTGAAGCTATGTATACTGTTGCTTTTTTGTTTTTTTCCGATGTGGCGAGTTAACAATTAGAACCATCTTTAATCCTATTTGTCATTTAACTTGTCAAGATGTAAAAATTCAAGAGAAAACTGTGAAAATATTTTTGAAAGTATCAAAAGCAGATAGGTTTTATAGAGGCACGAATATTGATTATTATTCAAATGACACAGACATTAATTTGTCCACTTAAAGCAATTTGCAAATACATGCACTTTCGAAAATATTCCAAGGCTTTAAAAGATGAACCATTTTTTGTAACAAATGTAAATGTTGTCTTCCAGTCAATCGGACCTTTCTTATTGAATGTTTAAAGCAGGTTTTAGACAGAGTAGGTGTGGAATCTACAAAATACAATGGACATTCTTTTCG